GCAAGATTGATTTGAGGTCTGGCTATCATCAGATTTGCGTTAAGCCTGATGATATTCCTAAGACAGCTTTCAGGACGAGGTATGGACACTATGAATATATTGTGATGTCGTTTGGTGTATCTAATGCACCTGGTGTATTCATGGAGTATATGAATAGGATTTTTCATCCTTATTTGGATCAGTTTGTGGTAGTGTTCATTGACGATATCTTGATATATTCTAATTCTGAGGAAGAGCATGCGCAACATCTAAGAGTGGTATTGCAGGTTTTGAGAGACAAGAAGCTTTATGCCAAGTTTTCTAAGTGTGAGTTTTGGTTGAAGGAAGTGAGTTTCCTTGGCCATGTGATTTCTAGTGGAGGAATTGTTGTTGATCCGTCGAAAATTGATGATGTGTTGCAGTGGGAGACTCCAAAGTCTGCTACTGGGATTCAAAGTTTCCTTGGATTAGCTGGTTATTATCACAGGTTTATAGAAGACTTTTCAAAGTTGGAATTGCCATTGACTCAGTTGACTTGAAATGGTCAAGCTTATGTTTGGGATGTTGCTTATGAGAAGAGTTTTTTAGAACTCAAGAAGAAGTTGACAACAGCTCCGGTGTTGATTTTTCCAAACCCGAGTGAGTCTTTTGTAGTGTATTGTGATGCATCAAAGATGGGTCTTGGAGGCGTATTGATGCAGAATGGTCAGGTTGTTGCTTATGCTTCTAGACAAATGAAGGTTCATGAAAGGAATTATCCTACGCATGACTTAGAGTTGGCCGTTGTGATGTTTATGTTGAAGATTTGGAGACATTATCTTTTTGGGTCTAGGTTTGAAGTGTTCAGTGATCACAAAAGCCTGAAGTATTTGTTTGATTAGAAAGAGTTAAACATGAGACAGAAAAGATGGCTTGAACTTCTGAAGGATTATTATTTTGAATTGATTTACCATCCTGGTAAGGCTAATGTTGTGGCTGATGCGTTAAGCAGGAAGTCCTTACATATGTCGATGCTTATGGTTCGAGAGTTAGAACTGATGGAGCAATTCAGAGATATGAGTTTGGTTTGTGAAGAGACGCCTAACAGTGTGAAGTTAGGTATGCGAAAGTTGACTAGTGGTATTCTCCAAGAGATCGGAGAAGGTTAGAAATCTGATTTGAGATTGGTAGATCGTCTCACGTTAATCAATCAAGGTAACGGAGGTGATTTTCAGATTGATGAGAATGGTGTGATGAGGTTCAGAGATAGAGTGTGTGTTGATGTGTCAGAAATCAAGAAGAGCATTCTTGAGGAAGGTCACAGAAGCGGGTTGAGTATTCATCCTGGTGCCACAAAGATGTATCAAGATTTGAAGAAGTTATTTTGGTGGCCGAGTATGAAGAAGGAAATTGCGGAGTTTGTATATGCTTGTTTGACTTGTCAGAAGTCGGAGATTGAACATTATAGACCGTCGGGTCCGATGCAACCGTTGAGTATTCCAGAATGGAAATGGGATAGCATTTCTATGGATTTTGTGATCAGTTTACCGAAGACTTTGAGGGGATGTGATTCGATTTGGGTGGTTGTTGATAGATTGATCAAATCGGCTCATTTTATACCGACGAGGATCAATTATTCGTTGCAGAAGCTTGCCGAGTTATATATTGGATGGACAGACAGAAAGAACTATCCAGTCTTTAGAGGATTTGCTGAGAGCTTGTGTGTTAGATCAAGGTGGATCATGGGATAGTCATTTGTCGTTGGTTGAGTTTACCTGCAACAACAGTTACCATTCTAGTATCGGAATGGCACTGTATGAGGCTTTGTATGGTAGGAGGTGTAGGTCCTTTGTGTTGGTATGAGTTAGGCAAGATGGTTGTACTCAGACCTGAGATTATACAGGAGACGACTGAAAATATCAAGATGATCCAAGAAAAGATGAAAGCATCGCAGAATCGTCAGAAGAGTTATCATGATAAGAGGAAGAAAGCACTTGAATTCAAAGAGGGAGATCACGTGATTTTGAGAGTTACGCCGGTAACTGGTGTTGGCCGAGATTCAAAGTCTCAAAAGCTCACATTGCGTTTTGTTGGTCCGTATCAGATTTCGCAGAGGGTGGGGGAAGTAGCATATCGGATTGCCTTACCGCCGTCGCTTGCGAATTTGCATGATGTGTTTGATGTGTCTCAGTTGAGGAAGTACATTCCAGATTCGTCGCATGTGATTCAGATGGATGATGTACAAGTGAGAGATGATTTTACTATTGAGGCATTGCCTGTTCGGGTTGATGAACGAGAAGTGAAGCAACTTCGAGGTAAAGAGATTGCCTTAGTGAAGGTGGTTTGGGGAGGACCAGCTGGAGAAAGTTGGACTTGGGAACGTGAAGATCAGACGAGGGAGTCATATCCGACTATGTTTTCTTGAGGTAATTTTCGAGGACAAAAATTCTTTTAAGTGGGGGAGAGTTGTAACACCCCAAATTTAATTGAAATATTTTATTTAATTTATTAAATGCGAATATTCGTATTTTGGTGATTTTCGGTGGTTTTGTGGAATATTGGAAATTAATGGAATTTGGGTTATTTATTTTGAATAATAGTATATAATATGAATATATTAATATTATTATGAATTAAAATGAATATAAGATGAATAAGGGCAATTTGGACAATTAAGAGGAGTTAGTGAGGGTAGTATGGAGAAAGCCCAATTTTGAGGCCCAAGACTAGGTTTATCAAAAAGGAAATTATGAAGAGATTACGATTCATTTGTTACACCGTGAATAGAATTGAGGCCAGAGCTCTGAGGAGGGAAGATTGGAGACAGAAGTTTCGAAAGATTCCCTGAAAGATTTGAGAAGGTTTTGATCGACAATTCAAGTATGAGGAGTATTACCTTCATGATTTTCTATGTGTGACTTTCAATGTATTTAAGGTTTAAGGGTTTTGAGGGTGGATATGAGAAAAAGTGATCTTTGGCCTTCGTGGCCTAAATCTATTATTGTGAATCTAACCGTGGGAATTCATTGGGGTTAATGGAAAACTAGGCCTTCCTAGCCAAAACTCTGGTTTAACCTGTGCCTAACCTTGCAGGAATATTGGATAGTGAGTAACTTTATGAGTATGAGTAATTGTAGGGAAATTTGTGATTTAGGGCGTGAATATGATACGGGATAGGCCTAACGAACCGTAGGTTTTGTGCCTTTATCGTCGTAAGACCTTAGGGATGATTTAGAGATGTTTTGGGGGCATTGGGGAAGTGAATCGTGTCGACATTTGGATGGATTTAGGTTCAGGTGCGTATGCAGAGTTGCTTTCATCGCACTTTTCGCCTAGCGAATAATGCTTCGCATAGCGAACGATTTAGTCCCAGACTCGCCTAGCGAAGAATCCTTTGCACAGCGAAGAAACTCATCCCAGACTCGCCTAACGAACATGCCAGTGAGCGTAGCAGAGTTTCGCGAATGTTGATTTTGTGCAGCGATGCCTTGATGTTTGATTATGTGATTTCTTGACGAATTAACATGAGTATAACTGTGAATTTTATGTGATGTGGATATGATGATATGATGATTCCTATGATGTACTGATTGGAAAACTATGATGATATTACCATGATGTTGACGAACTCTATGATGACATGAGATATGATGATGATTGTGAAGATGATGATTATGATGAATGATGATGCACCTATGTTGTTATTATGAGGATGATTATTGACGTGTGCATCATGCATTCATGTACATTCGGACTTCGGTTCAGGACCTCGATTACTTTGACTTCAATCCCATTGTGCGGATGTGAAGTGTTTTGATGTGCTCCGATTCTCTAGTAGAATCGATCCTATTGATGGGGATCTATGGAGGGTTGATGACCCAGTGTCCATCGCGCTGTGATGATTGGTACCACATGTATTGAGTCTTGTTGCATTTGCATTTATGAGTGATTTGGAATAATTTATGATGTTGTGGCCTTTGAAGCCTATTGATGAATATGATGATGTTGAATATAACTATGACGCCATTTTATATGTTGATTTTCATACATTGATTATTATGAATCGTTTTACTCACCCTGTCTGTTTGAATGTTGCCTCCACGTGGGTAACGTGCAGATGACCAGGTTTAGCCGTGGACGCCGTCGAGGATATTTTTGAAGTTTTGAGATGTTAGCCTTTTTGGTTAACTTAGAGGATCTTGCTCTGATATGTAACATCGGGTTGGGGTCTTTTGAGTTAAGCTATGTTTTATTTGAGTTTATTTTGATTATCTTCTCGTATGAGGAAAACCTTGGTTTATGCCTTTTGAGTTCCGCTGCTTTGTGAAATTTGATGTATTTTGAGAAAACCCGTTGTTTACGTAGCCTTGACCTATTTTGATTATTTGAGAAATGCACGCCCTTTTGTGGTGGCTTTTATTGGGATTTAATAATTTACTCTAATATATGTGAATAAATGTGCCTTTTAATTGGGGTAGAAAAGGGTATTACACATAGACTCTTTGCCTTTAGTAAATTCTCCATCAACTCACTCCAATGATCGTAGTGACCATCAAAGTGAGGAATCTTTATTAGTGTTTTATCTTCACTCATTGTGTTTAATCTCTCAAAGGCTGTTGCCTTGTTCTCACAAATCCCAGTTGAATAGCTCTGATGCCAAATGTAGAGAATGAAAACTCTATATTTAGTGAATCAACTTGCCTTTTATTCAAGATACTAAGACTCATATATAGGCTTTAGTCGTAACAGAAAGAAACCTAAAACTTAGCATAACAGAAGCCATAACAAACTTAAAATGAATGACATATTCTATCTCCTACAAACTAGAAGCCTTATTAATTGACTAAAACAAACTCTAAGACTTATTCTAAACACTTAACCGGCTCTTTCACGGCTCTTTCACGTATTACCGTATCCAAAGATAATCTAGAGTCAGGACCAACTGTCACTCCCCATTCATTTGCTCTTAAGCCAGTGAATGTGAATTACAGTGAGTAGCAAGCAAGCGAACGGAGTGTAGCATAGTTCGCGAGAAGGAGAAGCTAGTCAGGAATAGCGGCCTTTCCGCTGCAAGGTCTTTCACCCCGCTCCAACCAAAAAGGCATGCTCATCAACCCTGCGAGGGTCATCATTTCGCTTCTAGAGCGCTCAAGTGTTTTATACATGTATTCTGATTTATATTCATACATTTGCATTTTTCGGAACAATTGATTGAGTCGATCTTGAATCTCAAATATTCCATATTTAATGTCATTATAAGCTTGGTTACCAAGCATATCCTGAAGCCTCCCAATGAAGATTCCATATGCCGGAAGCAAGATATTTTCCACAGATGATATAATTTCTTCTCTTAGCTTATTGTCAAAACCAAACCAATCAGACTGAACTTTGCATACCTCTTCAAAGTGAGTGTTGAACAAATGGATCTTCTCTTTCAATAATTCTTCTGTAATGTTGTCATTGTTGTCCAGCTTTAAAAAGTCCAACACCCTATTCCATGAAATTCTTTTATAAAGTTCAATGTTTTGTCGAATTTTTGCTTTGTTTTTTTGGAACCAATCATTGCCAAAAATAGTTTCTAATTCTGAGGATTGATTCATAGCTTCTATGTAGCTCCTATTATTTACCATGAAAATATGGCACAAAGCAGGGTCCTTGAAATTTTTCAACTTGGCTATCAATTTTCTAGGTAACATCTCCATTATCTGCTCCATCTGCTTCAAGAAAAAAGATGATGCTTCCACTTCATTATCAACCTTGAGGTAGGCTTGTAAAATTTGTTCCAACTTTTGTCGTGACTTGCAAGCAAGAGATACGTAGCTCATGACCTGAAAAGTAATTGGATGAATAAGGCCACGAGACAGAACAGTTTCGTGTGCAGTTGGGATTCTGATAATAACATTATGCATTTCAATGAAAAGATCCTTGCTAGATTCTCCTAGTCTATTCCTAACTGCAATTGCTTCGTTCAGTAATGTTGAATCTGGGAAAAGAGATTGAAATTTCGGAATATGCTTATCCAAATGCCCGAATATTCGAAGCATTTTGAACAAACGCCATACCGTAGGGTTCCCAGAAGCAATCACATCTGCAAAACCCAGCAGCTGAGACGTTGCTCCGTGGCAAACCTCAAAGAAACAACTAAAAGCCGCAGTGGAAAACCCCGAGAAGACAAGATTGCAGAGTTTCTGTTCAATGGGAAACAAGATTGTAACAGCTACATCTAAAGCAGTCATCCATCTTTCAAACATGGTATCTAAATATTGCTCTGTATCATACTCATCCATGGTAATATTGATGTTTGTAGTTCGCAAACCAAATATTTTGTTTATGAGACACTCCTGCAAGAATACCCTGCGCCAACTACTATACACATCATAGCACTCTTTCTTATAACCAGCTGCTATCATCAACTTCACAATTTCATTAAGATTATGGATCTTTCTTGATGACAAAGTATCCATTACAAAATCACACTTATCAAGTAAATGTAATTCACTCTTATCTTGATTGTATTCCTTGACTAGCTCCATAAGCCTGTCTATAAGATTCAAATTCTCCTCTTCAATTTCCGTCATACAAGTTTTAAGTTGTTGCAGTAGCAATGAATCCAATTTAAGGACAACTGAATTTTCATCTTGCAGGTAAAAATACTCATTTTCTATTGCATCATCTATTGAAGAGAAGGAAGAATGAAGAATAATAAGGGAGTAGCTGAAACCTGCTCCAAGAATGAGTAACTGCAAGCTAATCTTCATGAGCTGCACAATTAGACATCCAAGGAAGAAGTAGAGAAGATCAATTTCAACTCCGCAATGAGTTTGCCGTGACAAACTGAGTGACATGATCGCAAAGGAAGCACATGAAATGAGACTGTATGCATCTGGTTTCCCATTCACTACTTTATCAAAGAAAAAGGAATAGACAGAAGTGATTGTCAATACGAGGAAAGCTGCATGAGCTTTGAATCGGAGACTTGTAGATGACTTCCATATATTTGCATACAAAATCATGAGGCTGATGATGAAGCTGAAAACAGTATACAGAATAATCTTCCACAAATTCCAATTTCCAAAAAGATGGTTGAAGGAAGAGCTTAGAGCATAACATAGCAGTCCAACAACGGCTGAAGCAAAGCCAACGAGTCTCCACACCTTTGGCTGCAACACTAATCTCCAAATTTGGGTTAAAATATGCATCATGTTGTGTCAAGGGAGTAAAAATTCGTTTCACAGAAAGACTTGTGGAGTGTTGTAACAATTTTACAAATAAAATCACAAAAACAGATGATGAAGTTGAAAAGGCAGTAAAGGAAATTATTCAACAGATTCCAATATCGAAAGATATAGTTGAAAGAAGAACTTAGAGCATAAGAGATGAGTCCAACAGCAGTTGAGGCAAAGCTTATAAATCTCCATACTTTTGGCAGCACCATCCATTTCAAATCCAATCCAGCCCAAGAAAAAAACCATATCCAAGTCAACTGCTCTGTCAATGATGTGATTGCTCCCTTCGTCCTTGTTTAATTATAATCATGTTTTTTCTTAGTTTTGAAACAATTATCATTAACTGATAAATAGAGACTAAAAGAGTAGGACCATCATTGACGGAACTGTTAACCGTATACGATACTTTTCTTGGGTTGGGTTGGAACTTTCCTCGTAACTCATTGGAAAGTCATAAATCAAAGAGGCAGGCATGAGCCATAAATAATTGAAAATATATGAAATCAATTCTAAGGCTTAGATTAAACATGTGGAGAGAATTGATGGAAAACTTATCTCACCAGAATATCTAAAGTATTGGAACTGTGTATACAATTCATACAATAAGCAGGTTTGGTCCTTTTCTTCGAAATTTCATATGTTGGTCTCATATAGTCTCCACTTTCTTGTGCTTCCTTTGCTATCATGTTGCTGAGTTTGTCAGAGTTTGTTCTGACAAACCCAGTGGGGATTCGAAATTGGTCTTCTTTATTCTTACAAAATTGAGAAAAGATGATGCATATTCTAATTCAAATTTGGAGATGGCTGATGCAGCCTGTCTAGGCAAACTCAGTGCGGATTTGAAATCGATCTTCTCTACTTCTTCCTCGGATGTCTAATTGTCCAACTCATGAAGATTAAATTGCAGCTATTCATTCTTGGAGTAAATAATCAGTACTCTCACCTCCAAGATGGAAATTCAGTGGTTCTTTCTATGGATTTTCTACAACTCACCAGTACTGATATTGCTAGTGCTAGCAATAACAGTAGCATTGGTTCGCCACAATTGGTGATCACAGCTCATATTAGTAGTATGATGGAACAACTCCAGAGTTTTATGACTGCGCTTCAGCACGAAAATTCAAATTTCATTCAAATGCTTTTGGAACATATAAAAATTTATGTTGAAGAATACTCTGAATTGAGGGTGCCCGACCCTAACCTCTTGATGGATGCAATGAAGCAAAAAACCATCAAAGGCCTTGAGGAAACATCAAAGATTATGATAAATGCTGGATTTGAGAAAGATTTTTCTGATGTGTAAAACAATTGTCGTACAGAATGCTTAAACAATTTCCTAATGCATAGAATTTAAGCATAGAAGTTAACAATATGCTGTGGAAGGATCTTGAAGACGAGATTGAAAGATGGATTAGAGCTTCAATGTTGCTCTCAAAATAATTTTCTACGGCGAGCACAACTCTGCAACCGCGTCATCTTCGAATTCTCATCAGCTATTGATTTCTCCTTCACAGTGATTGGCAGGGAATCCACCGTTTATTTGCTGAGTTTTGATGATTTTGTTACTGTTAGAACTTGAAAGCACACTGAATAATGGATAAATTAGAATGGGAGAGGAAGAGAGAAATTGAGAGAGAAAAATTGATTGCGGGTAACAATATTTTCACATTTCATTAACATAGATAAAGATGTCTCCAAGAAATTTATACATGTGATTGAAATACAAAACAACAATAGAAAAGCCAAAAACTCAGACATGTAAGCCGTTATACAAAATTTGTAATCGGTTACAACTGAAACAAACTGAAATTAACTAACAGTGGTAATCAGTTATTGCCTATGCATAACTGATTACGCCAACTTCAGAAATACTTTCTTTGACACCTTCTAACCGGTTACACACCTGTGTTGATCGGTAACAACACTTGAATTATTTAAAAATTCTTAATGCACCACCTTAATTCAAGTACTTCAAATTTTCCATACCCATGTTCATCTTCAACCTTTTGAACACATCATTTGTCACTCCCTTAGTCAAGAAATCAATCACTTGGTCTTCACTTCTACAATATCTCAATCTTAACTTTCCTTCACTTCTACAATATCTTAATCTTAACTTTCCTTCACTAACAAGCTCCTTGAGTAGTGAAACCTCATCTCAACGTGCTTGCTCCTTGAGTAGTGAAACCTCATCTCAACGTGCTTGCTCCTCCCAAAGTGATTTCAAATATATTTTTAATTTATTTATGGGTATAATAGATTTTGTTTTAATAAATTAAATTTTGAAATCTATGAATTAATATATATATATATATATATATATATATATATATATATATATATATATATATATATATATATATATATATATATATATATTCAATCTTTCCAACCTAACTCCTAATGACGTAAGTCCTAAAATCTGTCTATCCTTAATCGCGCTACTATCATTATCGTCGTCGGATGGAGTAACATGCACCGGAAAACATAATGGCGGCAGGAGATCTATATTTACCTAATGGTTGTTGGAAATGTCTCTTCAAATTCCTCAACAACCATGAAGACGACAAATACAACCGCTACCTCAACTCTCTCTCCCTAGTTTTCAAACAGTTCCTCTCCATCACCAATCGTCTCCGATTCTCCGCCGCTGTTGGCTCAAAAATATTCTCGTTCACCCATCTTTTATTTCAGAGATTTCTCAATATCACATCCCTCAACTACCACCAAATTTTAGGCTTTTCTATCTAACAAATATAATTTTTAAATTTTTTATCTAAATAAATTTTTTCATTTTTTAATTAAATAATCTATTTTTCTTAAAACAAAATTCTTTCAATAATCCTACATTCCAAAACAATTCTTAAAAAATAAATTTTAAATACTCTATTAATTATTGTATGATAGGGTTAAAACTAATTTTGCATGTCTTTGTATCGCTTATAGGCTGGTCTAATACAGGTAGAACTTGAATAAAGTATTTTCAAAAGTAATAATATATATTATTAAATTTTGTATTAGTTTATCTTTAAATAAATAAATTAACAATTAAGCTCTTAAACTTTTTTAATTTATTTTTTAAATGATATGAAATTAATTAATAATTTAAATGACTTTTTATTTAAATAGATATAATTAAAGTTAAAACTCATAAAACGGAATTTTGGCTAGTAGTATTTTTAGCCATCTATTTTCTTCTTCACTCTTAATTTTATCTTTTCTTGGTGCCTTAAATAGAATGGGTTGAGGTTAATATTTATCCAAAATCACTGGTTACTTTTCATTTAAATAAATGTATTTTTAATTTATTTATGGGTATAATAGATTTTGTTTTAATAAATTAAATTTTGAAATCTATGAATTAATATATATATATATATATATATATATATATATATATATATATATATATATATATATATATATATATATATATATATATATATATATATATATATATATATATATATATATATATATATATATATATATATATATATATATATATATATATATATATATATATATATATATATATATATATATATATATATATATATATATATATATATATATATATATATATATATATATATATATATATATATATATATATATATATATATATATATATATATATATATATATATATATATATATTCAATCTTTCCAACCTAACTCCTAATGACGTAAGCCCTAAAATCTGTCCATCCTTAATCGCGCTACTACCATTATCGTGGTCGGCCGGACTAACATGTACCGGAAAACATAATGGCGGCGGAAGATCTATATTTACCTGATGACTATTGGGAATGTGTTTTCAAATTCCTCAACAACCATGAAGACGACAAATACAATTGCTACCTCAACTCTCTCTCCCTAGTTTCCAAACAGTTTCTTTCCATCACCAACCGTCTCTGATTCTCCGCCGCTGTTGCCTCAAAAATACTTCTGTTCATCCATCTTCTATTTCAGAGATTTCCCAATATCACATCCCTCAAACTCAACTGTTCCTTCTACCGTGATCCCAATGCCTTCAACGGTGATCACAACACGTTTCTTCATCAAATCTCTAGTTTCTCTTTGAAACTCAAATCCTTCGATCTCTCCAGCCAAAACATCATTCCTGCAGATGGGTTGCGAGCTTTCTCTGAAAATGTTACAACTTTGACATCTCTCAATTGTTCCCAGATGAATTCTATAAGGAGCTCTGACATGTTACTAATTGCCGATTGTTTTCCTTTGCTCGAAGAACTCAATCTCGGCACAATTGCAACATCCAACTCTGAAGATAACTTCATTGATGGGATAAATACTCTTTTATTGGCACATTCCAAACTTGGCAAGATTAATCTCTCTAGTCATCGTTACATGACCGACGAATGTCTTTTTCACTTGTTCTACAACTACAAGTTTCTTCAAGAGGCCATCATATATGATTGTCTTAACATCACCAATGCTGGTATTGTTTCTGCTCTCCGTGAGAGACCAAATTTTAGATCTTTACATTTTACCAATAAAACAGACAATTGTTCGAATTTGTTTGCCATCCTCCTGAGCTGTCCTTCACTTAGCAATATCAAAATGGAATGCCCATATCCACGTTGGTGGGAAAAGAGCGTGGATAATTCTAATTCTTAAATGGTTCTAAGCCCTCAATTAGAGACTCTATGTTTGGCTAACAATACATGGCTAAGTGATGAAAGCGTTATAATATTTGCTTCCATTTTCCCCAATTTGCAACTACTTGATTTAAGTTATTGTGATAAGATATCTCAAGGTATTTGTGAAGTACTAAAGAAATGTCGTAAAATTAGGTATTTGAACTTAGCCCGTGTCATACCCCAAATTTGTCCTACCTTTGTACAACCTCCATTCTGTATATTTACCCACTTGCTTTATTCAAAAAGTCCAAAAATATGTTGTTATTTTCACTCGAGGATGTCAGGTTAGACGTGTGGACAATGTTGAATGAG